CCAAAACAGAATATAACTGAAAACAAAAAAATTTTAACATGTTTTATTAGATGTCAATTTAAAAAAATAAATAAAATTAGGAGAATGTGACTTTTACTCAGGGACAAATAGCCCACTGGACTCGGACAGAGGACCTAATACTTGGTATATGACAGAAGTGGCCTTGCGGAGACAGTGATGAGGTGATATCTAGTCATCAAATGTTACTCGGACTACTGGCTTTGCAAATGGAAAAACAACAGATCACCATTCCAAACTAAAAACCAATATTAATTCCAGGTGTATAAAAGAAGTAGGAAATGAAAAACTTAGAACTGTTAGATAAAAACATTGGAGAATATCTTTGTGCTCTTGAGGTAGGGAAGTATGAGTATTTATTAGACAAGATCTAGACAAACCATAAAGACTTACACAATTTAATCACATCAAAACTCAAAACATCTGTGCATCAAAATTTACCATGTACAAAGTATGAGGACAAAACACAGACTGAGGTAGACATTTGCAAAGCAAGTAAGAGAAAGGATTAGCACACTAAATACAAAAAGAGCTCCTAAAGGTAATGAGAAAAAGAAACCTCTCAATTAAAAAAAGACAAGATATAAACAGATAATTCAAATAAGTTGGTCAATAAGAATGACTAGTAACCAGAAAAGCAAATGAAAACTCCAATGAAGTGCCCTTTCCTCATCATATTGAAAAATATATATAATCTAATAAAACCAAGCTTGGTTCAAGATATGAAGCAATAGAATTTCTTCTCCTGGGTGGTGCAAACACTTAAGTGCTTGACAATTAGTGGGAATGTTGTGGGTTCCAATTACCCAGAGGCATCTCAGAAGACAGGCCTACTTACCAATCTTCTTCCAAAAAGATGTGCCAGAATGCCTTTGACTGTGTGGATCACAACAAGCTATGGACAACATTGAAGAGAATGAGTATTCAGAACACTTAATTGTGCTCATGAGGAATCTGTACCTGGACCAAGAGGCAGGTGTTCTAACAGAACATGGAACACTGAATGGTTTAAAATTAAGAAAGCTGTTTGCCGGGGTTTTATTTTTTTCACCATACTTATTGAAACTATATGCTGAGCAAATAATCCGAGAAGCTGGGTTATATGAAGAAGAATGTGCACTAGGATTGGAGGAAGACTCATTAACAAGCTGCAATATGCAGATGATACAACCTTGCTTCCTAAAGCAAAGAAGACTTAAAATACTTACTGATGAAGAAAGATCAAAGACCACAGCCTTCAATATGGGCTGCACCTCAATATAAAGAAAATGAAAATTTTCACTACCGGACCAGTAAATAACATCAAGATAAATGGGGAAAAGATTAAAGTTGTCAAAGACTTCATTTTTTTTAGATCAACCATCAACACTCATGGAAGCAGCAGTCAAGAAATCAAACAATGTATTGCATTAGGCAAATCTGCTGCACAAGACCTCTTTAAAGCGTTGAAGAGCAAAGATGTCAGCTTGAGGACTAAGGTGCGCCTGACCCAAGCCATGGGATTGTCAATAGCGAAGTCCCCTTTTTCCCTGGTCCCTCTCACTCTGAGGGGGGTCCAAAGAGTTAGTCCCACCGAGTCATCTGTTTCTCAGTCACACCTGAACAATAAGCATTCACCCAGAACTCTTTATTGCAAAACAAATGTACACTTCAACGAGATAAAAAGGTCTGTCTCCGCAAGTGGAGACGATGTGGGAGAATTGGGGAGCATAGATTACGTCAAAGCAAAAGTACACTTCAGAGAGAGAAGCGGGTCTGTCTTCATAAGTGGAGAAGATACTTTGGGGATGGGGTGTACTAGCTTATAAAGGTTTGGGAGTCTCCTCCTCCAAGCAGTAGCCTAATGCATATTGATTAGGGGGAGTGGTATGTTGAAGCAGCCCAAGCTTCTTGGAAATGGCGTGTCTTCGGCAGTTGTCAGCTCTAGGCACTGTCTTCATGGGTTGTTGGCCTGTAACCAGCTGCTTCTATTAATTAGGGTTTCAGGTCCCCAATATCCTTTTCTCTGTCGCCAGGCTGTTCTCAACGTTACCATTCTTGTTGTCCTCCCTCCTTTCTTGGTCGCTGTCTAGTAGGAGAGGACTCAGGGCAAAGGGGTGACGATGAAGCCAGGGTAAGAGAGACCCAGGGCCCAGGGGTGCTAACTTGTCTCTGATGGCGTCACATACATTGGAAAGTTGGACAATGAAGGAAAATTTGAAGAGATGCATAAGAACTGATGCATTTGAGTTGGAGGAGAATATTAAAAGCACCGTGGACTGCAAGAAAAACAAACAAACCTATGTTGGAAGAAATACAGCCAGAATGCTCCTTAGAAGTCAGGATGGCCAGACTTTGCATGTCATACTCTGGATATATTATCAGGAGAAGGACATCATGCTTGGTAAAGTGGAGGGTCAGTGAAAAAGATAAGACCCCCAGTGAGAATGATGATTGGCACAGTGGCAGCAGCAATGGACTCAAGCATAGCAAAAAATTGTGAGCTTGGTACAGGATGGGGGCAAGTTTCATTCTGTTGTGCATAAGGTCACTACGACTCAGTACCAAATCAACAGCACCTAACAACAACGAAAACAGGCGAAAGATTGAACAGTGCAGGAAGCATCAGATAAAGAAGGAATATACAGAATAAATGTACCCAAAGAAATGGTTGATGTTCAGCCAATTCAGGAGGCACTATATGATCAAGTACTGATGATACTGAAGAAAAACGTCCAAGCGGTACTGAAGACATTAGTGAGAAACAAGGTTCCAGCGAACTGACAGAATGAATACCAATTGAAACGTTTCAACAGATTGACGCAGTGCTGGTAGCACTCGTTTTTGTTTTTTCTTTTTAAAAAATGTTTTATTGTGAATTATACGATAGTTTACATGGAAGAACATTAGTTTTACATTCATCCTATCGTATATCGTCTCATTGCCATGGTTACAATCCCCTCCATGCAATCCTTCCCCCATGCCTCCCAGGTCTTTAGCACACAGTCGCTCTCCCTCTCTGAGTCTAGAGTCTCCAGCTGCTCCATCGCTCCACGTCATCATCTCTGGCTCCATTTCAGGCATCACTGCTTCTCTGGGTAGGGTCCCGCTCTCTGCTCTTCTCCCTTGATGGTCCTAGGGACCTCCGCTCCTAGACTGAAAAGTCAATCACTCCCCTCCTTGCTATAAAACGTCTACCTTTACATTTCCAACCCTCATAGTCAGTCCTGATAACAATTATTCACTATAGTATCACAAGAGACCTGTCTGTATTTCATTGCATCAGCCCCGCCTAGTCAGATTGAATACTACTCACTGGAGATTCTACCTTCCTCCAGGCCCTCTGGATCTAGGTTCCCTCTTGAAAGCTTGCAAGCCAGTCACTTCTTGCCTTTGTAGCCCCCCACCCCCACCCCCCATTTTGGGTATCCAATGTCCAAGTTGCCCATTCCTGTCTACTCTGTATGTGGAGGGGGTGGGAATTGGTAGCACTAGTTTATGCCAAGAAATTTAGAGGACAACAGACTGGAAGCGATCCATATGTTTGCTCATTCAGAAGAAAGGTGAACCTACAGATACAGAAATTACCAAAGTATAACATTAATATTACGGACAACTCAAATTTTGCTAAAGATAATTAAAAAAACTGTTGCAGTAGCACATCAACTTGGAGCTGCTAAAATGTCCAATTAAATTCAGAAGAGGACCTGAAATGATGGATATCATTGTTGATAGATGTATCTTGGCTGAAAGCAGAGAATAGCAGAAAGCTGTTTACTTGGTGTTTTATTGATCATGCAAAAGCATTCAACTGTGTGGATCATAACAAACTTCGGATAACATTGCAAAGAATGGGAATTCCAGGGCACTTCATTGTGCTCATGTGGAACCCAAAGATTGAACAAGAGGTGGTAGTTCAAACAGAGCAAGGGGATCCTGAATGATTTAAAATCAGTAAAGGTATGGGTCCAAGAATGCATCATCAGAATTGAAGGAAGGTTTATTAATAACCTATGATATGCAGGTGACACAATTTTGCTTGCTGAAAGCTAAGAGGACTTGAAGCATCTGCTGATAAGTATCAGAGAATATAGCCTTAAGTATGGATTACAACTCAATGTAAAGATAAAAATCCACATAACTGTACCAATAAACAGCATCATAATAAAAGAAAAATGATCGAAGTTGTCAAGGATTTCATTTTACTTGCATCCCCAATCAATGTTCATGGAAACAGCAGTCAGGAAATCAAATTACATATTGCACTTGGCAAATCTGCTGCAAAGATCTCTTCAAAGTGTTTAAAAGTAAAGATGTCACTTTGAGAA